CCCCAAAACCCCAAAACCCCAAAACCCCAAATACTCGAGCTCTTTTTGAATTTTATAAAATTAATCCAAATCAAGATCTGCCATGAATAGCTATTGGTCCGATGATTCCTATGAGTAAGTTTAAGTTAGATCTATTGGGAGACTCTGTAATGATCTAAACCTAACTTTAGAGATGGAGAACACTTGAGGGATGCAAGAATCGCCAAAGGACATGACAAGGAAGAAACTTTTATACCACCTCCTGGCAGCAAGATTTCTCAATATAAGATGAAAACCTGCAAGATGATGGAGCAAAACAAAAGTTGCAATAAAGGCCATAAGTGTATCTACGCTCATAACAAGTATCAAATCAGAGAAGGTAAGATTCAGCTATATTTCAGGACTTATTTTTAATTTTAGATCCACAAGAGCCTATCCCTCTTTGGGTTAAGGATATCTATAATGAGATGAAAATCAATAGGAAAAAAAACAAGGCTGATTTTGATGTCCAAAGCACAGCAACTGGAGATCGAAGGAATCTCATATTTAATGATAATGATGACTATAGTCCAAATTTCATTCAGCCAAGAATTCCTCTCAACTCAGGTATGTGTAAAAGCTAATTTTTAGGATCTCAACATTCTATCCCTCAATGTAAGTAGTTTACTTCTGAAAAATCCACGATATTCATAAAAATTAAACAGTTAAACTATATCATTTTTAGTTGACACTCACTCTGTCGGAATTCCTATTGTTTCCGGATCCTCCTTCCAACAAAATGATGGAATCGAGGATGCTTACAAGAAGTTGAAGATCGAGAACCTTGATCTGCAGGCAATCGTCACTAAGCTCCAGAGAGACAACCAAAATCTTACATCAGAACTCGAAGGGTCCATGAAAAATTGCCAAAATTGCAAATCGATGACTAAAAAGTACAAGGAGTTTGCCGTCTCAGATAACTCAGAACTACTGGAGAGTCTCAAGAAGCAGCAAGCCAAGGATAGAGCAACCATTGAGGAACTCAAGTCCATGGTTAATGAACTTGAAGTTGAAAACTCCAAACTCACCCAAAAGAACAAAGAGTTATCTAAAAGTGGTAGTTTGGCAAATAAGTAAGTAAATATGCTAGATTCTATAGATCAACTGATGTATATTACGACATTGCCACTCATGCTATCGGAGCACTGGAAGAAATCTCCAAAAGCGTTCTTTCCAAGAAGCTGATGAAGAACCCTGTGCTGACTCCCTCTCTGGCGATAGTCGATAAGGTCGATGTCTATGCTTACCTTGATAAACACCCTAAACACCCCTTCAATAAGATGACTAAACCAATAAAAGGAAAAATATTCATTCCAATGAAGAAGGTGATAGATCTCAGATGTGAACTCAAGAGCATGATAGAAGAGCAAGAAGAAATTAACACAGCCATCAAGATCTCACTATCTGATGCTGATAATAATTCAAATGATTTAGCAAAGAAAATCTCTGGGCTAGAATCTAAACTAAAAGATAGACAAGAAGAAATAAAAGGACTCAATAAAAAGAAAAATAGCTTAGAAAATGAGTTAAAGAATTCAAAAGCTAATATTACTAAATTACAACAAGAAATTGCTTCTCTGAAGAAAGGATCTAATAAATCTCAAAAGAATAAAGATGAGGCAGCAATTAAGGGATACAAAAAGCAAATCGCTGAACTGAATGATAAAATTAAGCTACATTTAAATGATCAGACTATGAAAAATAAAGAGATTTCTCAACTCAAGAATGAAATTAGCCAAGAGAAAGCCCAAGCTACTCAATTTAAGGAGATGGCCTCTAAGTACCAAAGTCAAGCAGCCCAGCAGAAAAATCAGGTTCCTAAACTAACTCAAGAAATCTCAAAACTAAAGAAGCAGATTTCACAGCTTGAAGAGGAGGCTGAGTTCTCAACAAAGCAAGCTAAAAAGTTAGAGGACAAGAATAAAAATCAAAAGAAAGCTATTGGTTCATTTAACCAAAAGATTACTGAACTCAACAAAAATGTAGATGAAGCAGAAGTTAAGAAAAGCTATGCTGAAGCGACCACTAAGAAAGTCGAACAAGAAAAGGTAATATTTTACATAATTTGTAGGAAGAGATGGAACAGGAACTTACCCAGAAGATCAAATCTCTTGATAAGGACCTCCTTAGAAGAAACAAGATCATTGTTTCTCAAAAGAAGCAAATGGACTCACTCTCAGATGTAAAGAAGCTTCAGGAGGATAATGGAGTGTTGAAAGATACTATCACTCAAATTTGTGGTAAGAATATTAAAGATAGTCTAGACTCTATGGAGACGATGCTAGAGTGTAATGAGACAAATGTCCCAATGAAGAATCCTTGCGTCACTCCATCAGGACATACAGTCGAAAAAGAGGTTCTAGAGCAATGGATTTTGTAAGTATTTCACTTATTTTCATCATTCTTATCCTAACAATGATACTAGTAACGGAGAAAAAGATCCATGGAATGGAGCTATGTGCAAAAGCACGAGAAAGAACCTCCTCGCTTCAGAGCTTGCTCTGTTACTTGAGCAGTACAAGGGTGTGTCATCCTTGGATCCTCAATAAAGCACCCATTTACTTTTACTTACGTTTCAATCACATAAAAATGCCACGGGGTTTTGGGGTTTTGGGGTTTTGGGGTTTTGGGG